GGCGCTGTCGACCTGAATTACAGAGGGAAAAAAACTCCCAATCTCCAGGAAACTTAGGAACTCTTACGGTATGGTATGCCTCTCACTTTATCAATGAGTATCATTCGCGGAGTTGTGGGTGGCACTATCTTGGTTAGAGGGCACAGACGAACAGAGCAGCCCACATGGCGCACTGAATGATGGGCGGAGACGATCAGTAAGATCAAGTAGCGAGCCTCTAGCTTCCTTCTCATGCACTTGCGAGTGGAGAGGGTGGTGCACTTCTGCGGATGCCGACCTGCCACCCTTGTACTGGCAATCCCATCTCTTGGCAAACTTAGGAAATCGTTCGACGTGCCTCTCACATGCTCAACGACTATCGTTCGCGGATTGTGGGTGCTGTCTTGGTGAGAGGACACAGACGAGCAGTCTGTACGGCGTGGCCGTAGCCGTATCAAATGGTGAGTGGGCGGAGACGGTCAGTAAAACAAAATAGGCAATCAGTAGCCTCCTCACGAGCTCTCGAGTGGTGAAGGTGGCTCCTCACAGAGCCTTACCTACCACTCCTAACCTTACGGGGCCTTACCTACCACTTACCTGCCACTACTATACAAGGAAAAGCATTATAAACCTTCCCATCCCGCTCGCTGAGAATTCATAACCCTGCCCTGGAGCAGCCACATGCCGGCGTAGCACCTTCTCTTCGTCTGCACCTTCTCAACGAGACAGTGGCCACTTTCTAACAGAGGGTTGGCCTCATGAGAGCATAGAGCATCAAAGAGAATCGCCCTGACTACCCCCCCCCCCCTTGGTACCTTTTACCTTTCTTAGCACCCGTTAGTTTGAGGCTCGTGACTTTGTAAGATGCATGGTTCATCAACCTCATTTCATTACTGACATTACTGCACGAATATGTATTCATTAAATACATCTGCAATACAAATGACAACAACAACAGACTATAACAAAGTAACAAAGAGTGTAGACAGCATGCTACACTCCAACAATAACAATCCGAAACCATAACATCAATTTTTCTTTCGCTTCAGCGCCTTCGACTTCTTCCACTTCCTTTTGCCTTTTTTGCTCGTTGTTGCTTCCTCTTCTTCGAAATCTTCTAAGAGAGCCGCAAACTAAACATAACGAGAATGAATTCTGCTTGACCGCGATTTCCAAGCATTTTACTTGTAACACATGTACAGTCACATATGAAGAATCTCAATTATGAACTATCTAGCAGGCCACGTCCTGGCACTGATGAGAATTATTGCTGAAGGGCCCACAGAATATTCTCCTTCAGTACCACCTACTTTCGATATGGACCAGTCTTTCAATTTTTACCCCAAACGCCAAAACGTAAATACGACCCCCCCCTTTACAACGTCCATGAAGCGAGAAAAATCAACTATCAAAATAAATTTTTCCCAGCCCAAATACGACCCCCTATTGGGGATTCCCCAACAACGATGTGCCCTGTTTGCGACACCGCCGATCAAGATAGTGTGCAAATATAGTGCGAATGAAACGGGAAAAACTAACCGGAAAAGATTTCCACAAAGCGGTCTTTTCCCCTTCAGCGACCGAATGTAACCCCATGTAGGGATCTCCAGCCTACTAGGCGACTTTCCTACGTTCCTAATTTCTGGAAACTTTTTGACCCACCAGCAAAGAAAGAGAGCGGAAAACTCGCTGGAATCAAGCCAAATATGGCTCGCTTCGTTTGCTTGAGCGGAAGGCGGCACAGAGAACTGTAAGAAGCCCTGGAGAGTGTGAAAATCAGGTCAACAGGCGCAGTTCGGCTTGGTGGGGATATTTTGCTTCTCATCGATCACTGCCGGTATCTCTGTGGAGACCTGGAGACTTCCTGTACAGCTATTCAATAGCAAAAGCTTCGTTTACTTTTGACATTAGCCTACAGCTTTCTTCCAGGCATAACCTGTAACTGAACAGGAACTAGCAATAAGTACCAGCAAAAGCAAGGTATCCTCCTGAGCCGAACAGCGTCTATCAGTTTCGGCTTAGGAGGACCTGCTGGCTTTTTCTGCTGCCTGCCTTGCGTGGAACGCTATTGATCTGATGCACAACACGCCGACAAATAGAATGTGAGAAAGAGAAAACAAAGCCTAGATGCAAATTTTCGGAATACCTTTTTCCAGCCGCGTCCACGCTGCACTTTCCACCCATAGCCGCTCATCACTGTCATCCTGTCCAGCGAAATCTTCCTTTCTTCGGCTCGTTTTACGACCACTTGCGTCATCATCAGAATCAGACTCCATTTCAACATCTTCGTCACCTTCTTCTACGTCTTCGTCATCCTCCTGGAAACACAGGGAATCGGAAATTGTCCGAAAATCGATAAAGAACTTCCTACCTCATTGTCTTCTCCACCTTCTGACTCCTCATTCTCCTCATCATCATCGTCTAACTCAAAGTCCACTTCGTCATCTTCTCCATCTTCTTCTCCCGCTGTCCGTTTTACAGCTCGCGGTTTCTTCTTCTCTGTCGTGAATTCCTTAGTATAATCCACATCGAACTCTTCGTTCGCTTCGCCTGGTCCAAATTTATCTGAAGACGCAACATTCAGCTCTTTCGATATTGTAGCCGAAGTCCCAGAGACTGCATTGGTAAACTTACCAATAATTGCATCAAATTCAGCCGAATCAACACTTTCAATTTCCCAGTCATCTTCCTCTTTCTTTTCTTTGTCCGGAGGATGGAACTTCAGCGACGCAAATCGATGAAGATAATGTTCGTCAGCTGGTAGTTCACTAGTTTTCTTTGAAATGTACTCCTAAAGTATTGAGGCTTCTTGTAAAGAAATATACAACGAGAATCGCTTCACCAACCTTTGACGACACAGAAAGCTTCTTGACTCCCCAAGGATCGAACTGCTTCTTTCTGAGTACTCGACTAGTCGATGACTTCTTCTAAATAGTCAGCACCATATTACACCAAAATGTCAAGGAGGAACAACAAAGGAAAGTTTGAAGGGAGAAACTGCTCCAGCGATCAATCCCTTCGTGGGATAAGGCATGTACTCTACCCCTATTCAAAATCGTAGAAGCTTACTGAATGCGATATTGCCTATGCAATGACTTGCGTAAGCTATTTAATTCAATTTTCTCGTCCTTCCAGGCGTCGTCCCATTCTACTGGCTCCGTCGTAAAACAAGGCCACAGTGGGTCGGCCGGGCTTTGAACTCGGACAGTAAACAAGCCACTTGTCCTCACTACACGACCCGAGGGAAAGTGCTCGTCAAGACAATCGTAATTCGTAGCAGCGTCGCTTATCGTGCGGCAACAGGGGCTGCAAATTGAGGGAGATGTTCGACAAGCAGAAGAAAACTAACATCCCCAACATATGGATCTCTCTGCTCATCCATGCTCGATTACTCCGCTACTGAGAAAGTGTTGACACTGGAACGAAGGCTTGCCGTTGGGGAAAAATTTTGTAGAATACATCTCCCCCACCTTTCGAGATTTTCTTCTTTGGTACGACACCCCTTCCCCAGACCCATCCTACCCACCATTCCCTTGGTTCTCCCATCTTTCCATTTTGCCCGTAAAAATTTTTCGGTTTTCCCTAAAATTTTCCAAGTCGAGCGGGATATATGGCACATTTGGAACAGAAAAAACCAAGAAAAGTAAAGCACCGGAACATCTTCTCTGAGGGCAAAGACGACCATCATGGTAAGGATCCCAACGTACGACGCGCCATGATTAAAGCACTGCGTCGCGGCTGCGAACCACACAGTGGACAAATGCGGCGGGCGACATCGCCGACCACACCCACAGGTGCGGCGAATTCCGGTCGGCTTTCCACAAAC